TGCTCCCTGAGCGGTGCCGTGTCGGGCTGGGGGACCCTCACCTCCTCCAGGGGCCCTGCAGGAGTCTCCTTGGCCTCCGGCTCCTGTTTGCCACTGGCCTCCAGGATGGCCATGATGGAGTTGGGGATGTGTGCTTGCTAGGGGAAGAGCAGGGCGGGGTGCTGCAGAGAGCTCTAACCCAGAGACCCCTCCTGGGCACCCCAGATGCCTGGCTGGTCCCTGGCCCTCCAGAACCCTTGACATCCTGTGGCACTGCAGGGCTCCCCTCTGCCCACTCCCCCCAGTCCCCCGGGGCTGGACCCATGGGGCCAGCCACCCCACATCCTGGGATACCTGGTGGGGGGTGAAGGAGCGGACATGCGCCAGCAGGGGCTCCCGGAGCTCGGGGCACTTGTCAAACACGGCGCCCAGCTGCTGGGGCGGCAGCTGCAGGATGACCTGGAAGCTCTGGGGCTTGGTGCGCTGACAGCATTTGATGAAGCCCTCCCACACTTTGGGGTACTTCCACACCTGGAGGGGGCAGGGAGGAAGGGGGCGTGAGGGGGCATGCAAGTGGCCACCCTCGGAACCGGAAGGACCGTGCCAGGATGGGGCCTTGGTGGGGCTCACACCCCTGCCCTCACAGACTCCCTTCGGGCTCCACAGCCCTGCCCTCCTGACAGAGGACCTAACTTCCTCTTCTAGCTGCAGCTGGGGCAGGAGGACAAGGAGGGAAGAAAACGGTGGCCCTTTCACCCTGGTCCCCCTGGGCCAGGCCCAGGCTGTGTCGTGAGCATTTCATTCCCACAGCGGCCTCCAGGGGGCGTCATTCGCCCTGAGAAACAGAGGAGGCCGAGAGAGATGCAGGGACTTGTCCAAGGTTACCCTGGTAACTAGAGGCAGAACCAACATTTGACCCAGGTCTGTGAATCTGCACTTAACCTCTAAGCCAGATGGAGCAACGCGGGGCAGCCTGTGGGCTGAGTCCAGTCCGCGGGCTGGTGGAGGTTTTTGGTCTCATCATGGTCTCCTGAAAACCCAGGTTTCTAGCTTCTTGAAAACCGGCCCACCTTTCAGCTCGAGGACGCATGCCGCCGAGGTGCACAGTGGTGCGGGATGGGCAGCCCTGAAGTCTACTGCCTGCTTCTGGCACCACCCGCCCATCAGGGAGCTACCCCATGGCTGAAGTCGGACCCCTGGAGCGCCAAGGGCAGGGCAAAGGCCTGGCCAGTGTGGGTGGAGCTTGCTCTCCTCATCTGGGCTCCCTCTAGGGCAGTGGTTCTCAACCTTCC